GATCATTATTCATACATTGTTATCAATTCCTTCATTCTCTCGTTTGCTTACTGCATGACAATGGAAGGCGGGCAGGCGTAGGCCCCTAGGGCAGCACTTGCTGCCATGGTGCCAGAACCAGTTCGGGCTTTTGAAAAGCGGTATATTCGTTAGCGAGATTCAATATGTGAGCACTACTGGGTGCGAAATGGCGAAACGCGATGACTAAGTCTGCATTGAAACTCATGCAGGCTTGTGTTCTAAGAAATCGAATGTTGGCTAGGTCGGCCATGTGGACGAATGTTATGTTTCGTATCGCCACCATCATGTAAACGTAAATAGGCAGTGGACATTCCTATCAACAGAATCCATTCGATTCGTGAGCTTTAACCAGTTTAAAAAGGGGACGAACATTAAAGAAAGGGCATTGAGACAAATGGGAGAGACCGCAAAATATATGAAACGCCTCAACAGCTGTTCAGTCGCATAGGCACTGCTGAACCGCTGCAACAATGGGATCCCCTCTTTGTCTGAACTCCGCCATCAAAACATAGGTCTCGCAATGAGTCTTACACAGGCTTGAATGCCAGCCTGTAGCAGCCCTAACAAAGGCTTCGGATTTTGAGCTCGCTATTGAATTCGTCTAAAAGCCATCCACTGAGTAGAATGTACTTTGTTGTAACGGCATCCTGCACCAAGTCATTTCCCTGTCGAATTAGGGGGCTGCTCATGACTGGCAGCACCGACAGCCAAACTACACGGATCATATCGTTGATGGTAAGCTATAGTAGATCTGTCCATCCTAACGTCCTGTCAGCTGTTGACGAGCATACAGGCACCTACCTAAGTCGTCGAAGCTTTGGTTTTCTAAGACTGATGAATACGTAAACTCAAAGGGCTATGGGTGTTACTAGCTCTGTTTCGTGGCCCTTCTGTCTATCTGCTAGTCAATTAGTTATCTAGTCATATCTATTCTACATAATAAATTTTTTTTGCAAGCAGTATCCTGTTTTTTAGGTTTATACTCGCGCTTGAATGCGCAAGACGCAAGACACCTGGAAATTTATACTATCAAACGGGATACCATCTAACGACAGTGGCGATCAATCTTTTAGTCTGACTACAATAAACAAAAATCTATGTATGGCTGGTTACATATAATGCGGGTCATTGACCACACTATCAATATAGTTAGTGTACTGCAGTTAAACCGAGTATATTCAAAAGGACGGATAGGAAAATACGAGAATTTCTAAGTTTAAGATACAGTTCATTTAAGCGAGAATTCACCTTCAGGCTATCAAATGATCAAAGACTTATTACCTCTTCGTGACTTAACAAAGCTTCACCGTATTTATTTTTGGCTGGCCTCAGACGTATGTCAGCTCAATGTCGATTGGTTTGATAGAATCAGCGAGCTATATTTTTAGAGTTTCCAGCTAAGTGCGATAAGTATGATATTCTTATATCAAGAACTTGAAGATAATTGGTTAAACATAATAACTTTACACAAGATCAAGGTCGACTATTTCGTGCATACAAACAAAGCTTCCAACATTGTGGAGTGTGACTTAGTCGGTATCGTCGAATTGCTAGCCTTCTTCACGTGATCAAGCGCATCGACCATTCCGTACAATATATAACAATACTGCTGAACATGCAGTAATCCTAAACAATAGAACTATAAAGAAGGATGCTTATTTCACAAAAAAATGTTCTTAAAACCCCTTCTTTGTTTACTGCACTCCTGTTTGGATGAAACTGTCGTTCAGTTAGCCTAACGGTCATATAGATTGCAAAGGCTTTAATGAAACACTGCAGGCTTAAGCTGACGAATTATAACGACTAAAAAATATAGATCCTCTCTAAAATTCATTCGGTCCTTCGAATCTGTACCTGACAGGGATGACGTGTTCTTCTTCTTCTTTTTCTTCTTCTCGTGTAAGAATCATAAACTATTGGTTGGGAACGCCTGGCCAGCAGGAAGTTCCCGCAGTTGGGCTTATGCATTTGCCACTGGCAATATTGGTTCCGCACGCTCCTACTTCTATTTAAAATGCGAGTACGAGTACTACTTTCTCTATAACGAAGGAGCAGTATAGAACTGGTTTCACCGAACCATTCAACAAAGATTTCAAGTAGAAGCTGTGCACTACATACACGAAAGGTGGTAGAGTTCCAAAAACGTGCTAGGCAATAACGGATTGCGTAACTCATAATTTATGTATTACCTCTAGTTTGCTCTATTGGCAAATCTCATTATGTTAAAAGTCAACTATAGATAGTACCTACAAATGACGAACATGTAAAGAATAAATGTAGATCTAGAATTGACTGGGGCTTAAAATCTTGAGATAGACCCAATAATTTTTCGGTTTCGTAATAAATATCACTGGTTTCGGATAAGAAGTTTGAAACATTTAGCCATCTGATGCAAGGCCAATATCGTTTGGAAGGTAAAATCTGAAAACGTATTTATTTTGTGAGGGTGTGCGGATATAGAAGCTAACACTTATACATCAGAGCTTCATTGACTATGTAATTGCATTGATTTTCCGCCTTCAAGATTATACAATACAGTTGAATTAGTAAATCTATGGTTAATGCCAATTGTTTGTACCCTTTACAAATACCCTTTACCTTCGCCTCTGCAATACTCTGACAACAAAACTGAAATACCGTAAATATGGTTATTTGTTTTAAGATTATAGGCAATTGCAGATCCCAACTTTTATGCGTAATATATTGCGTACCGGCTTAAAGAATTAGTAGGATATTGCACTGGGACGGTCTTGCAAATGCTTATGCCACATAGAATTTTCGAAATACTGCCTCAGCGTGCCTCGTTCCCCAATAAACTCGCTTGCTTGATAAACAGAAAATGACTAGATCGAGAAAGACAAAATCATAATAGGAGTGAAAGAAACGGCTGTTAGTGATATGCTCGGTTTCCGGTCGAAGTACATAACCGTATCATATACAATTTTTTGACCGAGAAAAAGGAAATTTATCAAACTGGCTAGGTGCACCTCATGTTTTTTTTGTTTGTTACCTTAAGTCCTGTGTAAACGTAGGCTAGAGCCAATGCCCTACCTATTGTCCTGAAGACGTTTACGGTATTCGTCTACAAGTTAGGCCAGGTAGCACGATACACGAATACCGCATACATAAAGTAGTTGATTTGCCCTTCTCCATCAGCAGCGCAATGGTTTCAATATACCTATTATGACCCGCTAAAACGGTGATCTTTCATTTGTCTCAAAACGCCTTACGCTACGGTACGCCGCTCTCATTTGTAATAGAAATATATATATCAATTACAGAATAGGGTATCTCCGTAGAGCATGCCTAATGTACGTGAAGGCACAAAATGTTTATGAAACGAATCACAATTTCACTTCGCTACTATAGGAAATCCTTCAGCAGCTAACGAAAACAATAGCCAGTGCTGACGACAAGTACCAGAAATGTGGCCCTATAACGATTATCTCAGTAAACAACTAGGATAACGATAGTTAGAATGATTCTTTAAGTTACTGAGGCTGCCTATGAATTCTTTACAATGAAAAACGAGGTAAGTGAATTGATAACAGGGCGTTGGCACCATCATCGCGTACACGTTCTAGTTAGCCAAACCACAAAAGAACTTATGTACATCTACTGCATTGTTTATGCGTAGCATAAATGAAGATGCAGCGTTGAATCTGTGGCGTTCGAATGGCGTGTTTTCTGCCCTTATTTTGTTGTCAGCTAATCAAATTACAAATATGAGACGCCATTGTCAACGAAGTCCCATAAATATTGGCAGGCAGCAAAAAGCTAATAAAGAATGGATATAAGTATCTCCGTGATGAGTCCGTTCTTCTGATTATCGGATGTCCTAATTAGAAAATGCCTTCTACTTTAGGTCCTTTGTGCACTGCTATAATTGAACGTATCTTGTGCAAAGTGGAACCCCTTTACCCTGAATATGGGCGTCTACGACCCTACTACCCTAGAGAGGAAAAAAATACCATAGTTATTACATTTTTTAACCTTATATGAGTATATATACCTCCATGATTACTGTATGGATATATATATATATATATATATCTACACAGTAATCATTGACGTGCGTTCCTTATTTACTGGAGATGAGACTACGCGGAACGCCTACTCGCTTAGTCGCATAAAAATAAAGACTGGCATTTTTCGAAGAGTAATAACCATTCAACACAAACTAGAAAACATTAAGATTGAGGATGTGTAAAATACAATAAATATAGAAACCCCTGTTTATAGATTGTGCTTGTAAGCAGAGGCATCAGACAAGACGTGGCGTAGACTTCCGACAATGGAAATATTGATAGGTTAAACATAGGATATGGCGAAGATAAGAGGGCGCAATTAGCTCAATCCTTAGCAGACGGTAATCCCACAGTAGCGGAAAGAATATAGTATAATACGTTCAATGAGAGTGACATTTTACAATGATTATAATATTGATTTTTATTAACTATCACTCGGGACGACGACACAATAAACAAGCCTACAAATATCCATTCAACTCAGAGGCCTTGACTTTTATAACAGAATGTCAATGAAAATGTAACTGAAGAGTATACCTACTTTACCAATGAATCGCAAACACTTCTTATTATTGCACTGCATTACTATAAGGATGCGTATTCGTTGGACGCGAAGGCACGTTTGTCTCTAGATAAAGTTAAAGAGCAAACTGTTGGATAATTTACAGAAATCTGAAGATCCCAAGGCGCCTTTACGGAAAGCCGAAAATGCAAAGCGTGATTCAGGCAAAAGCAAAAAAAAGAAAAAAGCCAGGGACGCAAAACAGAAGCAACTTGAAGCGGTTCGTATTTCGGACACGTTTGTTTTTTGTTTTTGTTTCTTTCTACCAACAACATTTGTGTAATTAGTTAAGATATCCGTTTTATGGTGCTTGTCCAGATAACGATATATCATTGGTATGGATAAACGCTAAAGAGTTATCAAAAGGTGCGCTGCTTTACTTGTAGAAAATGGCAGATCCCAAGTTAGCACCCGGCAAAGACAAGACTGAAGACAAAACCAAGCCTAAAAAAGACAACGGACAATTTAAAAAATATGGTCATCTTGAGTTGGATGGATCGTTCACGGCACAGCAACCCAGAAACATCAAATTGGCAGCTGATGCACGGAAGATTGACATGTCAATTGAACAGGTTAGTGGATCGCTTCCTATGAGTTAGTGCGGGGAATTGATCCCAACTGTCAGATCGTTTTAAAATGGCTTCAAAAAAACACAGCGCCTATTCATGATATTAAATGTGGGAAATTATTGATACAATTTCAACATGGACATGTGAAAAGCGTAAATGAGAGAGACCTGGTTACCTTTAAAAACCGACTATTGAATTTCAGACGGCAGCAAATGTTGAGCTGGCAAGTCGTCCAAAACTTGATTCTCCAAAGCAGAAACCCCAGGCAAAGGATTTGGGAAAAATGCTGAGCAGTAACCTGAAGCAATTCAGGCAGAGAAAAGGAGAATTCGTACGTCCTTCCCACTTGTATCCAGTATATGTTAAGATTACTATATTATGGTTGTGAGATAAATCGTTTCGAAATAGATAACTATTAATTAATTATTAGTATGACTTCGCTCGGTGTTTGAGAGTTTACTTTCCCTTCTTTTAATTGTTGGTATATTCAAACGTGGCGAAATGATGGGCTATCGCATCGTTCGCCTCATGTTGAACTTGAATTGATGCTCTGAATTATAACAGCGCGTCTTCGAAATGTAGACTTTACATAGGCAAAAAGACCAATTTGTTACATGGATCGAAATAACAGAAACAGGCAAATCAGAGTGGAACGAGAAAAGTATGACTTCTCCAGTAAAATATTTATAGTACGACGTTGCCGTTCCTAATTTTTGCCTCGTTGATCGTGTGCTCCACATGCTTATATTGTTTGTAAATTGGAAATTTGCAAATTCACGAATATCAGACGAAGACACAGATAAGTCATACATAATACATGAGAACACCTTAGATTGTTTAGAGCACTACAATTTTATGCATTAGACGATTTGGATGTATACTTTCATTATATACTAAATTTAAAACAGGGTCATCACTTAACAAAAAAATAGTAAAATTGAATTTCCATTTCGAAACGCTTTTACCCTAGAAAAAAATACTGAAAAAACACGACGTCTTTAATGCTCCGAATAATATTCAACGAAATTTAAACGAGTAACAACCATAAAGTGTAAACGACTTAAAGGACCCAACATTAGTCAGTCAGATATACGATTAAAAAAATAGTAACTTTTAGCACATGTGCGTTTTCAAAGCTGTATGACTGCCCGAAAAGTTAGGGTAGTTATAAATACATTAGATTTAATGGACTTTTTTCATGAGCGGCAAGGCCGATCTCGTATATGGCAATAACCAAGTAGAGCGATAAGGGAAACGTACCGCTAACCAATGTTAGTTGAATCCGATGCATTTTGCGAAGACGAGGTTTTGTTGCTAATTACAAAGGGGTAAACAGCATAGCTTTGATATATACGATACAGCCTGGGCTCATATCCTATCCATGGATCGTTAAATACGATAATTTTGAGAGAATTCTGAGATCACACGACCTTTGCTAAAGTGCAGACCATTGCTTAAATCTCAAAAGTTACCTCATACTTGGCAGATTAAACTTGAACCTGCGTCTAAAAGACTCAGCCATCAGGAATCACAAGGTCATCTTGACAGCAAGCCTGATCGAACGGAGATGCGATCTTCGACCTTAGGTTCAAACGGCGCAAGGAAAGAAGCAGTGGAAGTGGCAAGTTTATTTAGATTAAATTTTGTAAAAATGCCTGACAGATTGTTCATTTTAAAGTGCGTATAGTGTTCGCGTGAAAGTTTAGAGGGTAACGTATCTGCATGCTAATCTTAGAAATACATGGTAGTATAGGTTCGAATCCGTTTGTAAACACGTGGTTCGTTCCTTGCTGGGAGCCAGCTGTCTAATGGAATACATAACGGTCGGCGTAAGGCACGAAACGAAACGAAAGTACGTGTTTAAGGCGGTGTACCACGAGCGAAAAACGAAGGATTTATCGAATTTCAGGAACCCGCAGGTTCGAAACCGGTTTCGCAAAGGCTCATATCTCCAGTAGTGGCCTCCACTAATAAGCAAGAACAGCCAGATGATTCAGCTGGGAAGAAAAAAAAAGTTAAAGGACAACCGAAGTTGGAAGATCAGGTATGTCTAAGAAAATTTAGCAGAGAAAATGAGAAAGGGAGAGAGAACACCTGGGTTGCATTAAGCAAAATTGAGATCAACATTTATTTATCTATATCAAATAGACATTACACGTTGTGGCACGCAAGCTGTTCCAGAAAATGATTTGGGGTGCTTAAATGAGATCTTAAGTTCCTCCTAAGTTCTTAAAATGAAAAGGAGCAATCTTTTGCGAGGACTGTAGGTCTGTGATTCATTAATATGAATTAACACGTGACCATTGGAATTTTTAAATAAGACAGAAAGGTACAGATATATTTAAAACACTGGTTCTATTTCGTTCGAGTCTATTGCAAAGATGACAGGTTGCATACAGTTGTACCCAGTTGAAACTTCTCTATCCGCCCCAAATTTTCAGGACCATCGCGAAAAATACCTATTCATTCTATTTAAAGGGCTCAGAAACAGAAGAATTCGAGAGACTCAAAGATCAATATGTGATGTGGTCTAGATTTAAAACCCTCACATCTTGTTTCGTGTTTGGGGAAAGCTATGTGAAAACCATATGCTTAAAAACAATAATGACAAACGTAGATGTCTGGAATATAAAATGTTTTGAATGATTTAGTATATTTGCACACGTCAAGTGCGATTCCATATATCTCCTTATGTGTATGTATATGAATATGGGATTGCAATTACGAAAAAAATTATAATCGTAGAATTTTTAAAATAACTAGAATTTCTCGTAGGTAGTTGGCTTCGTGTTTTCTCTGTGCAGAGTGTCAGATTTTCTTTCAGTTTTTAGTATTGGTAAACTTATTTCGTTTATCGGATTTCTTAAACATTGTTTCTTCTTTAATCCGTATTGTTGCAATTCTTTGAATTTCAGAAGATACCTATTCTACACCCAATTCAGCTGAGGTTTGGAATACCACCAAAACAAACCTTTGGAAAATCGCAGGTATCCAGCATATCTGCACAGAAGGAGGGTAGAATAGTTAATGGAAGTCCAACAAAAGAAAAAGCTAGTGATCAAAAACAAATACTTTCGGTAAGCTCTCGCATAGACAACATAGATTAAAAAGCCTTTTTAAACAGACAGGGTAACGATCCTGCCACTGATAAGTCTTACACAGAGCAATTAATGTAACTTTATGACGCAATTATAGTCGCAAATTAAGTGCTTTTTTTCTCTTTAGGATCGCGCACATCGAACCGAACTAGTTTTTGCGTTTGTTCCTTAGTTAGTAACTTCAGTTAGTCCAGTAAATATAGATGGCTTCATGAATCGAACTCTCGGAAAACCTCTAAGCAGAATAAATCTGTCTCGTATCCATAAACTTTTGTCCTTAAGACAAGATCGACAGAACTATTTTTTTCTTTCCTTAATCAAAGGTAAGTCTAAGAAGAAATGTTATTTTGTTTTCAGAAAACACCACATCCCAAAGAAGCTTCAGGCAAAGATTTAATCGAAAAGAAACGTGATATAAAAAAAGAGCGCGAGCCATTATTGAAGATTCTAGGACGAAATGAGGCTCAGCCAATTGGACCAATCGAAAATAACAAAGACATACAAGAGAAACAGCAACAGCAGCAGCAACAGCAACAACAACAACAACAGCAACAACAACAACAGCAACAACAACAACAACAACAACAACAAAAACAACAACAACAAAAACAACAACAGCAACAGCAACCGCAGCAGCAGCAGCAGCAACAACGGATTCCATTGAAAACGGTATGCATTTGAGGATCAGTTAGCACTAACAAACCGGTAATGGATTGCAAAGGACTAAAGCAAACAACAGCGGATAATATTTTTGAGAAATTATACGTATAGCTTCTTAAGAAAATAATCCAGCTCCGGTTTTAATGTTTCGGACTTCTGGCGTTTGCATACAGTCAGGGTAGAGCATTGTACAAATCTCTTCCCAAAACTGGCCTTCTAATAAAAGGTAGAGCTTTCCAACCTGGAATAAAATAGGACAAACATGGCCTTTAGTGATTCATATTTTATGAAGTGCTAGGATTGGTACTAATGTTTACGAACAGTATTACAATATGGTCAAGATTCGTTAATTTAACCAAACCGAATCCGGTCAAATATTGTTTGAAAAAATTGCGGGCAGTTGTGTTTATATGTAAAAGAAAACGTATCGGGAGCTACTATGGGCAAAATTTGTAAATAATTTGAATACCGAGCATCGCCGGTGTATCTGGACTTCGATATAAAACGACTATTTACGAAATTTCAAACGAAAACCTGACTATCTTTGAACTCGTAAATATGATAGCCCTCTTTCTTGGTAATTCTACTTTCTTTTGTTTTTTTTTGCAAAAATTTCCCTTTTTGGGAGAAAAATTGGAAACGGAAGGTCTACAAGGGATATCTAAAAGCTCGCTAGCCGTGTCAAAAATGTGACGAAATGTTCTTATCCTAAAGAGGAAAAAGAATTTTCCAACCAGGAACAATGAAATTTACATATATACGCATTTTGCAAGAATATCCTATAACTTAAGCAAATTCAAACGGTTAGCTGTTTTCAATTGCAAACTCTTTTCTTAAAAAGAGTCTTCTCAAAGACTACTGGTTACTGAAATGAGAAAAAATAGAGCTGCGGTACAGCCCTCGAATAAATGACATAAGCTAATGACTAATTTAGGTTAAAGCCTGTAAACTTGGGAGCGGAGTTAAAACGAATCATGAATGAAGGACGACTAGGTTTCTTATTTTCTAGACACAAGGAATAAACGAAAAGTAGTTTAAATCTCACATCGATATAGTCATAAGGATCCCTTTAACGAAAAGGAGTAGCAGGAAAATCTACTATTTATAATAGAAAGAGGAGTCAAGCGTTAAAATAACTGTCAATAAGATAAAACTCCCGCAATAGAGCTGTGATCTAGCAACGAGGAGAGCTCGTCAATTTTAACTTTTTTTTTTTTTAATAGATAACTTTTTTGTGAATTGGTAAGGTTCCGCGAAGCAATGATTGATGGTCGCGGTGTCAGTTTCACAAATGCCTAATTTTTAGGTAATAAACGTTGCTACAACAAGCTTACCTTTAAAATTTTGATAACTGAATTTATAAATTTTCATAAAGTACCTAAAGATTAATAAATAATCGCACACTTAATAAAACATTATTAAAAATTTAATAACTTTCATGATCAGGGTATCGTGATTTTTGTTTGCTGACGATCTAATGTTTGATTCAATATAAAAGTAACGCTTCGGTGCATCTATGCCAAGCGCCCCTCTCAGGTACTTATTTTTACAATAGTCATTTTGCATTGAAATATGTGCCGATAGTTGTCGTATTCAAAACTTTTACGTACGACTTATTATTATAACTTCGAAACTATTCAAAAAAGTAGCATCTTTTTAATGAATTCTTTGGGAATGTCAGATATTAATTCATGTAGTAGAAAAGCAAGTTTTGATTTTTGAAGCACAATCTTTAAAAAAGAGGTTGTGCTTGACATCTAAGGCGTGATTGTTGTTTTAGGGCGTCAATAGCCATATTGACGCCCTAAAGAAAGAATTTTGCATCAGGTTTGAGGAAATATTATTTGTTTTGGGCCACGTACAGCAACCTAAGCGATCTGAAAAGTCATCAAATGACTCTTTATTTAGCTGACCTTCTTAGCAATATCGAAAATAAGTTATCATATAAAGAGACATGTTTGTTGCAGGAAATTGAGGATATCGCCAAGGGACATAAAATCGGTGAACGTCACCCAAAAGCATACCTAGAAAAACCGGCCTGGCCGAAACTGATAGAGGGCATTCCTGCAAATAACGAGAAAGTACGTGGAGTCTTAAGTTCATCCAGCCATTTTTTTTGCAAACTCTAAGAACCTTTTACCACCAATAATATCCCTCAAGCTTTTTGGTGATAATACAGCAGCAGGCGCATATTTAGGCATGCACCCTAGATTAGATTTAGTTACCTGTTAGTAACATTGTTAATACGAGGAGCTTTTTGTAACAGTCCACTTTGGGAACTAATAAATGGGCTCTGATCTAAACGAATTCAGGCAGCTTCTATAATTGCCACTGGGCCATTTAATAACGTAGAGCTTTCTCTTTGCCTCGGGAAGGTGATCTAATCTAACTGACAACAATCGAAACATCACTGTCCTGTTTGTCCACAAAACAAGATACCCGAAATAGGAACAAAAGCACAAATTAATAGTGCAGATCATTAGATCTGCGAGGAATTGGTTTATCCTGCAATAAGCATACTTTTAATGCCTGAAACATTGAGGTTTGTAATTTTGCATCAATGGGTCAGGCCACTTGTGAACAATTTCGACGTTGATCCATGAGCCCTCTCATTCGTTCATCTTCTCGACGATGATTATTATTATTATTATAAAAACAAAACTATACTGTTTATACTTGTTGAGATTAGTACGTACCTTTATTTGTATTGTAAGTTTATTGCATAAATACTTACTGCTCTTTAGTTGCTGGTACTGTTGTTTCATGGAGTCTACTTGGGTTCAGGTTTGTCAGACAGCGACACTTCAAAGATAGATTTTCAGAATAAATAGTACATGTCTTCCAGCTCCAAGTTTGCCAGAAATTACACTTCTGCTAGAAAGTACACAAAAGTATACGCCATTCATCATTGTGCCGTTATGTTTTGTTTGACAGGTCCACGTTTTTTACTCTTTTTTCCGTACTTTTTATTTATGGAAAAAGAACACGCCGATTGTCCGCTTTCTCAAAACTGTCAAGAAGCATTCCTTCCATTTTATCTATGACACTTACAAAAATAAAACTGAATAATCAATGGTTGAAATAAAGACCATTCTTTTGTCAAAAGGTGGCCAGAATCGACCGTAACAAATAAAAAACAACAAGCGAAGAGCACATGGCTACTCACAAATTACACTCACGGTTAAAGCAAAAAAACTTTTCTCTATATCATCCATTTCTGTCCCGGGTTACAGTACCCCATAATTCCATTAATCTAAGACGCTGAATACGCAATTTCAGTAGTCATTTTAATGAGGTATATTGATACAGACACACATCAAGTTGCTTGATTTCGATATTCTCTTTATAATCACATTTTCAACAGGAAGTTAAGCCAGGACGCGTTATCGTGCCACAAGCAGACTTGGACAAGCCTCTCGTCGATGACGTGGATGTTTTAGCGCCGATAGCTAACAGCAAACGTGTGCGAAAACGACCGTCAGGACAGGTAATATACCCAAACAATTTAGATAAATATAAGAGATTTAATCATATTTGGGTTTAGAGATTCAATTATATTATGGTTAACTTCTTAATGGAAGCAGACTTGCGCGATCTTCACGTTTGTCCACATTCTGAATTTGGTTGTCGAAAAGGATTGAAATTAAACCCTATTTTGGAATTCGTTTCAGAACGGATAACCCGCTTGTGACGGATACCAGGCAACCTTTCAGTTCTAAATACTGTTGCTTTAACCGCGAAAATTGCAAATAGTATTTATTGTCTTTTAGAAGCTTTTAGAAAGAACACTGGAAAAAGCAAAGGGTCGAAGGGCTAAGACGGCATCTCGACGAAAAATAATACCTATGCCTTGATTTGTTTTGAGTTGTCTTAACGAGCTATACAGAGAGGCAATGTGTAATCAGGCGTGGTGACCACGAAACCAGGAATTATGGATGTAACAAATTACTAAATCACGAGTAGAGCACGCTTATCGGAAACTTTATTGACAGTATGAATCGTGGGCACATTCTCAATAATGCTGATTTGAATCACGTGTATCATTACGCTTGAAGCTTAAAGCGTTCTACGTATGGAAAAATAGATTTACAGTAGAAAAACTGCATTGTACAACGAGAAAAATCTTACAATTGTCGAAAAAGCAGTTCGTACAACATGATACGAATCAATATGGAACAAAGAGGCGGGTTGGCGTGGCCGCTAAATGCATATCTATAAGAGTGCGTTGCCATGGTAACCACAACCAACACACATGCAGTCACAGTAGTTCTAAAATTATTATCAAATATTAATGCATCGAAACATAGCGAATGTCAAAAAAAAAATAAGGTATCATCAAGGTTACTAGCTGTTTGTATAGTTGCCATGCTGTGGCCAGACAAATCCCAAAAAAAAGTCCCAATGGGAGCAGTTCCTTGCAGCTATACCTGACACAATGATACCGAATTGCTAATACAGGGTGAATTACTAGTAATGTTAAACACATCAATAGGAAACATCCTCTCCTAATACGGTATCACTGCTTTTCGTAGTATATATATATATATATATATATATATGGATCAACCTGACAAGAATTACAATTAGATGTCATGTTGCAGGGCTCTCCGAAGAAACAGGATGTTGTAAAAAATCAAAAGGTACCTGTGGGCAAAGTCAGTTCCGAACAGCCTTCTTCACTTGCGGGGCGTCCCATATCAGCAGACACACTGAAGCATTTTACGGTGAATGGGGTGAAGCATCCTGCCACTAAGGCGTTGGAGCAGTCAGTACTTAAAACGCCGGGGCGTCGTCGGCGCCGAAGGGTGCAAACGCAAGTAATTTTTTTTTATCGCTAGAGAATACATTTTGAAAGTTTAAAGGGAAACAATTTTGGGTGTCGACGTCGATTGCTGGTAACTGTATCGTTCAGTGCTCGTAGCAATAGGATAGTTGTGATAGTACTATTGTTATTAATTTACGATGCAGTACGAAAAATAGCTGAACAGTAAGTATCACACAATAGGTGTCGCTCGAGTAATGGTCACTTTAGCTCAGTACGTTAATGAAATATTATTTCGTTGTCGAAATGATCAAGGGTATTGGTTTTCTACATGGATTCCTGTTCTCTTTGATATTCATATCCGTCCTGGCATTCTACTACCCCAAATACTTACCAGCACGACTGAGAGGGGACACGATCGAACCAGACGAGGATGACACAGATACAAGAATAATACCACCCCATTCTCCTTCACTAAATACGCCGAACGGACTGCCAGTTATTGTGGTCGGAGGAGGATTAAGCGGTGAGTGTGAATTTGTCTTAAGACACCAATGCATCTAATGACTGTCGCTTTTCCTATATATAGAGTAGTGGTGGTGCATGTACTCATGTACACAAAGCCTATTAGTGTATTTGAATTTTTAACCCGCTTTCATAATGTTCGAAAAAAAAACTCGGATCATCAAATTCCTTGTAGATAATAATAATAATAAAAGATATTATAACTTGACTATCTCGGGCTTACAGGCCTTAGCGCTGCCCGCCAGCTGATGAAGATGGGTCGAGAGTTCCTAGTTATCGAGGCTAGAGATCGAGTCGGTGGTACGATTCGTTCACAGGAGGTATCAATAGATTACGTATGCTTAAATCGAGAAAAGAAATAATTGTTTTTTTTTTTATCTTAAACAAATGTGTTGCCATGATTTAGTCGTTGCAGCTTACGCTTATTTACCTGATTCCGATAGAGACATAACAGAAGTCGTGTGAGTAAAATAAAAATGCTTTCTGATCTAGTTTAAAGGATTTGGAATTATGGATTACGGGGGCTCGTATATAGGCCCAAACCAGACACATATTCGGAGAGTCATTGAAGAGCTGGCTCTTGGAGGCTTACTCTACAAGGTTTACGACAAAGACAAAGATGTCTACTTTGTTAGGGTAGGTTTACGGTATGTCGTGTTTGTCTTGCTTAAATCTGGTAGTTTAAGGAGGGTTTAATCTGAGGGTTATGTACTAAGGATCTGAAGGTTATACTGGAATAATTGATAATCTTAAAAAATATATATTGAAAACTGTATATTTTTTCATAGTCCGGATGTTCAGTATTCAAAAAACTAAACATTTCTAAAATGTTCAAAACAAAGTCGAATATATGCATTATTACAAGGGAATAGGCGACAGAGGATAGAACTCATGACCTCACATAATCGTTTGCCCATCGAAATCATCTCGTTGGTTTCTAAGGTATATTTTTTCAATCTTCATTTATTAATCTTGTATTCCTAAGGGTCACTAAATACACAGCCCTGTCAGTAGCGTATGCCTTAGAAGCGATTTTACCGATCTACAAAATCGTCTCGTCTCTGTATATATGTATCTGTACATAATCAGATAATGTTCAGCGCTGAAACGGGTCAAACGTGGGTGAACGCCTTCCAGCAAAAATCTTTTTTTTTTTTTTTGTCTACAAGTCTTGCTAGATTTATTTCAAATCTAATGCACCTACCTGTTTTAGTAACAAAGTAAAGAATTAGAACTTTTCCTATTACTGCAAGCTTGTGCTTTGCAAAAGAAAACATCGTTATACAAAGGGTAATTTATTATTCACCCGAAAATGGTTATCTTGAAAATATGAAGTGGTCTTTTTATTAACGGGACAGGCCAAATAGCCACCTGCCATACTATAGTTTAGCTTTCCTTGTCACTGTAACATTCAGTAAGGTAAATTAATAAGAGAATTAAAAGCAGAATCGTATTTATAGGGAAAGCGATACGTGACTGAACAGAAGTTCCGGCCTAAGTTTGCTAACTCAACGGTGGAGAAAGATGTACTCACGTTTTTCTCACTATTTGAAAAGTACGCGGCAGAAGTTCCTCTTGAAAAACCTTGGGAGGCTCCTAGAGCTCATGAATGGGATTATCAAACGGTGAAACAATTCATTGTGGAGAATTGCAAAACCAAGTACGGTAAACTGTTATTCACAGAATCTCAAGCTCATTTCTCCGACACAGTCTTTGTTTACGTCTTATAAATAAACGACCGCCGCTGATCAGACTGTTTTTCCTTTTCCGCTGTGAAATAATCGATAGTTGACTTTCTTCTAATACATGTCTCTACTACAAGAACAAAAGCCACCTTTTCTGGTACTTTATTTCCACTGTGTATAACCTCCGCTTTTTAGTGAGTGTCGTGACCTCGGAACCTGGTATATTCAAGTTAATATGGCCTGCGAACCATTTGAAATTTCTCTTCTATATGCATTATGGATTGCTCGACAATCCGAAGGACTGGAACATCTAACGGCAGTTACCGGTGGCGCACAAGAAATGAAGCTCCTTGGGGGTATGCAGAAACTTCCTGAAGCGATGGCCGCCTCTCTTAAATGTACGTGTGTACTTGAGAGTTAACGCTGATAGGTATAAACTGATAAGTACATACTATGGTTTTAAAAACGATATTCTATAGAATAACAGCATACGCAAAAGGAATATCCGAAGAAATATTTGAACTGGTCGCTTAGTGGTGATCCTTATTCGCCCTATGCACACATGCCCGACACTCGTTTGACTAAGTACTCACTAATCGCGTTGTTTTAATCGGGCCTACCTTGGTACGCGCGAATGGACAGCACGGCACATTTGTAACATTCTCTCGTTGTTGGAAGCATGCGAAATTATTTAGCCTAAAGCAACGACCCATAATCTTGTATCTCATTAAGACGTGCGAAGGTTTCAGGGTAGTATCCTGGATAGAACATGCATTTTTCATATACCATTCAACGAACAAAAATCGGCTGGAACAGATTGATTCTCTTTATTATATAATAAAATGGACTGAAAATGGAAGTCGATAGACGTGTTGATGAAAAGGTGGTCAAGTGTTCACTCCTAAGTACTCCGATTAAAAAATAAGCTTCGTTTGTCTTCGGAGATCGCCTGCACGCGAGTCAGACTATGCATATGTTATTACATTGCTACCTAATTGGCAGTCAGTAATGTATGAAGTCGCACGTGTAATCAAACTTCTCTATTAACTTTTTAGGGCGCGTGAAACTGAAATGTCCTGTAGTGTCGATAACACACGGTTCAACTGCCGTCCACGTTGTATGTGAAGATGGCAGGAACTTTATGGGATCGCATGCAATATTAGCCATGTCTCCACATTTGATGACGAAGATTCATTTTCGACCCTCTGTTGGGTCCCACAGGATTCAACTTCAGCAGAGGATGCCCATGGGCTCCGCTTGGAAAGTTCAGCTTTACTACAAGGTGAGCGCATGATTTCAGATGTGTTGCTTCGTATATATTATAATGGCTATCTGGCGTAATATAATCCTCAGTAAAACACCTTTCAAAGCATTTTTTTCTATGCCACTCGCTCCTGTAATTTGTCTTCATTAAACAAGTGTGTTTCTATGTGCTAGCGGTAAAAGCTCTACGTGCTTATTACATCTATGTGTATGGAAGTTTTCTATTTCGTGGAAACATCTCACAACAGGGAAAAGAAAGAAACGCAGATTTTAAACCTGGATCCTAAATATAACAACTTATATAGTTCGTTTACCAAGACCCTTTATGAAATACACTACCATTGTGAGTATAGATAAATTTTGATATCGTACCGTACGATAGCTGAACAATTTGCGCATGATAATTTTGAAAAATAACGACATCGATGTGAATGACTAGTTCTCGTTTGCAATGAATCACATTGAAGGAGACGTTCTGGAGGTCGATGGGCTTCTCTGGAGCTATCGAAATAATGTCCGATCAAGAAGACTACGTGACGTCGATACTTGACGACAGCAAACCTGATTGTAGCTGTCCATCTCTGACCGGATTCGTCGTTGGCGACAAAGCCCGTAAATTTCTCAATGAAAAATGGGAAACGCGGCGAGACAACTTTGTTACGACCATTGCCAAAGCATTCAATTCAACACTTGCTTACAATGTTGGTATCATTAGTTTTAATTGAGCTATCATCACATGTTATATGTTGGAGCAATCTATTCGCAATGCGTTAACGTACTTGCCTACATATGGTACTACGTTCGTACTTCAGAACTATGCTCGTCACATAGTCCGACCGCTATTTGCAATACTCCGTCGTCTGCCGACATTGTCAGTCAATGAACATCAACTAATGATTAGAGTCATAGTTGTCGATCAAGATAACTAATGATAGTTTCCGAAGTGTGTGACCTCGCAAGTGAGATCATTGTTACTCTGCATGAAGTTGATCAAAAACACCAAAGCGGTCACCCTTCGCATCTATTTGAAGTTAATTTTGTTCGCCCACTACAACACCGCTATTGCAGCTGTTATACAGGATGGCTATTCTTTTCAGTTTACTAAATACGAAGAACACAACTGGATGAACGACGAATATTCAGGCGGTTGTTATTCAAGTTTGATGCCGCCAGGTGTATTAACCACTTTTAAAAGGTAAAACCGCACCAGGATCACGTAAATAAAAGCCCTACAAGTGCAATAGGACAACGATTTCATGCATGATTATCAGTGCATTTAGCCCCGAGTTCTAAATTCTACTGTATTATTATTAGTATAAATTATGAGTTATTATTAATAAATCAATTAATTAAAGGTGTTACTTACAAATAATAATAGATCTTCCTTGAATTATAAGTACCAGAACGGTCACAGAGGCTTAACGACTCAACAACTAACTTTCGTCTCCATCTCAAGTCAGAAATGTCGGTAATGATTTGGCCCTTGGTAACTATAAATATTACGATGTATGTAACAACAAATTTATATTTTACTCCTTCAGCGTTCTGAGCGACCCAATTGGACAGATTCATTACGCCGGAAGCGATACGGCGACGGAATGGTTGGGCTTCATGAGTGGGGCAATTATGGCTGGCGAACGAGCCGCCAAGGAAATCATCATAAGCGAAGGTGCAAATAACACTTTGTCGACTAAGGCAACTGCTGTTGATTACTGTTGTGCCGAAACAAACCATTAGCCCTGCTGCCGTAGTCCTCAGTCCTACAGTCACCCGGGCGGCCACTACAGCCAAGATGAAATCAACGGCTAAAACAATAACAGCAACGACGATTCACCGAAGGTGCGGGGGAAGGGGGGAGGGGAGGGGAATATATTAGTCACAGTCAAGAAAGTAACAGTTTTGCGACCCCAAACAATGACCAGTATCAGCAACAGTGCCAATCGTAACGCTCAGAGAAATGACGGCTAACCTTCAAACGTTCACAGGTGGTAAAGACAGCCCCACGATGTCGCAATAATGACCTTTTCATAGTAAACGAAATGACCACTTACTCTGGGTGAGACAACAGGATACACTGGGTTCTCAACAGCAACAGCAATTGTGCGTCGTAAGTTCACAGAGCATTCGGAGACTAGACACGGTGTTCAGTAAGTGAATCCGTTGTTCCGTGCCCCACATCACTCGCTGAGTGCCCGCTTGCAGCTTCTTGTAATCCTATGGCGTTGCAATATATCTACTGTACACTCCGCCTGATTATGTTCGCCTTTGTGTTTATTAATCTCGTCGTGCAGTATCGCATTAGCTCACAGCTTGTTTAAATTTGGTACATCTGCTACGTATAACTTGTGCAAGATCTCAGTCTAGCCAGATATAGGTCTTATTGAAAGACCAAACTCATTTCGTTCAGAAAATATTTCTTCCATTAATTCATAACAGTATACTTACCATTTTCAATATTTCGTTACAGCGTGCGGATGTGTTTCGAAAGACCATAAAGCTGGCCATATACATATTTGGGTGAACAAATCAAACATTTTCGATACAACAAGTTGAAATAAAATTTTACGTTTTCAATTTTGAATATTTTCACTTTAGTCAGCGGGCGTTTGGTAAAATGGACCTGTTTGATAAAGCCTAAAAAAGTTGGATAACTTAAGCACCTTTATGCACCTTACGCGGCGTCATCCAATACGCCGACAGATATGTGTGGTGAAATGTCCGTTTTGTCGAGCGCAGTCGCGTCGAAAATACGTTCGAGGGACCATACGAGCGCGCCATCTATATCATTAGCATTTTCTGTGCTTCTATACCTCTTAAATACCGCGGTAACACCATGTTCTATTCTGGGTTATTTTGATCTCGACTGCCAACTACTACATGATGCGCGTGATAAAATATTAGAAAAGCTGTATAGCAACCATAAACACCTGATCAGGTAAGAGGCTATCGATCACTACAGAATCATAAGTCTTAAATGAGGAAATGGCAATAAGAGTGAAATATAATAAACGTTTAAATCTTCTACAATAAAAATTGTTTGTGTCCTTATGTTAAAACGAATAACCGATTTCTAAAATATATAGATTTAAAAGCTTTTTTTTTAATAATAATAACTTTGAACGCATGATGCGATGTTCGACGTGTCGAAAAAAAAATGCTTTCCTTATGAATAGTTCGTCTATGTGCCCCCTATCACTAACGCAGTAATTATGTATATACTGAGTTGTCAGAAAGTTAGGATTTTTTGATTTTGCAGCTAATAAATTTTGGATAACACCACTGAATTAAATATGCGCTATTTTAATTGGTGATTTTTTGCCATTTTTCTGGAAAGGCCATCATTTCACTGCTGTGGAACTTACGTGGTTTCTGAGCAAACAATTACGGCAATTGATAAAGAGAAGGATATATGTGATTTGAAATTGTCGTAATAAAAGACGATGCCTTTCCTCTCCTATTTTTTCGGTCAGTTTTTTAAATGGGTTTCCATTTGTGTTGACAACAAAGCCCCAAATAAATAATTTCGCCAAGCGGCAGTAACAAAATGCACGACTGGTTTCCGCTCCCAGAAAATTATATGCAGTTACCGGTTTTGGCGTCAGCCTGAACTTTTGTACATTAGTGTTGTAATCGCAAATTGAACTACGGTCGATGAGTCCTTTTTGGGTCGCCGATTCGTGTCGACCACGAACCTCGAGTTTCCTTTTGTAGCCAATTCAAATGGTCTAAAACTGTTTAGTTCCTTGGCAATGTTGTAGCTGGTCACGTGTCAGCCTTGCGCGTGTTCCATGGACCTTTTTTGGAATTAGCAGACAATTACGACGAGGATTTTTTGCATTAAAATTTCCGAAACGAAAACGAGAGAACCATCTTCGCGCCGATACTTTTACCATGCATTTTTTTATATGCTTGTGAAGCATTTATGCGTTTATCACGATAAAACTGTGAAACATAGCGAATACACAAGTTTCATCCCTGTTCAAGATGCTCTATTTTGAATCTGTATGAACGCATCCTAACTATTTTGGCCCATCAGCTAAGTCTCAGCTTTCAAATGATACCAATTCCGATCTGATACGGATGTAATACAATCTAGTTAAAAAAAAAAAAATCAGTCAATACTTTATCGCTCATGGTACATCGAGCGACACACTGATCGAGCAGTTTGATGTGTCGCTTTATATTACGCTTCGGTTTATTGTTAAACATATCCATTTGTTCTTTCAGGCCTACTTCGCTTTAATGCTTGCTTTAAATCTTGTAACTGCCCAGTTTCTCCGTAGGTTAAAAGTGCTATTATAAGCATTCTGCGTTTATACATTCTTTTGTAAGTCTTCGTATACTGTTATGTTGTAGTATTTTTTATTTAACCTCCAAAAAAAAAAAGATATCGACACGATTCGTTCCAATTGTGTTGACACGTATGCTATACGAGTACACAGTGAAAACTTCTGGACAATTCCCCTGCACATCTTCAACAAAAACACTGCTGCATTTTAACCCGCGACGGGTATTACGTCTTAATGCAAGGGAAACAAATCAAAATGTGGTTTTCGTTAAGATGGCACCAACAAACATACGGGATCTAGTAAAAGCTTTACTAGCTTTACTAGGCGAAAACGGATGCAAGACACCTCAGGCCGCGAGTTTGATATGTCAATGGTTATTATAATGAGTGCGTATAGACGTTATATCGAAAAGTTGCCTAGTAGGTTTATCTATCCAATGTAGATGCCACACTTCCCTAGCGATAACTGCGCTCTATAAACGTAATATGTGCTCGTGCTACTATTGGTAGCGTTATGTAAATTACCGCCACGCCAATTACCAATTTCTTTCGACATTCTGCTGAGCTCGCTCCGGTCTGTCTTGTCGACAACCGTTTAAGAAGCTTACCATCGTATTCAGGAAAACATGTTTATCGGGATTTAGTACTTGGGTTTGGTTGGATGCAAACTTGTGTAGTAATCTAGCAAAGTGTGTCACTCCTTCACAACGACATAACGAAGCTCTTCCGGTATAATGCAACCCTGCTAATTGCTGCATGAAATATAAATTCCACTGGTAACTTTTATTATTATTATTATTTTATTATTACTGGATTATTGATCCAGTACTTATCATGACTGAAATAAATTCCGGTGGCTTTTCCAGTCGGCGTGCTTTTCTTAATGAACCATCCACTTAATAAAACGCGCAGATTGCGAATCAGGTGAACAGTGTATTATTCCAGTTCACAGTTTAAATCATCCAATTTTCTCTAAGCTGCTTGAAGGTTATGATGATCCTGTATTGTGGCTGAGAAGCTTCTAGCAAAGGAATGTTCTACATTATACTACCTTATATTCATCTGTATTCAAAACAAGCTTAATTAAACATGCGAAGAGCATTAATCACGAAAGTGATATTAACCAAACACCCGTATATTACGTGTGTTTGAAATTAAGTAGACAAACTACTGAACTTGAGCATATCAATAAGAAGAGAAAAACAAACATTTAAATAAGATTATCATAATAGCTGAGAGTGAACTTAAATTAAACCTATTTCCAATTCTTATGATTTCCACAATAAGAGACGAAGTATTCTCTTAGTTTATTTACCTCTCCTTTACAGTCGCTGAGCAAGGGGACGTCTTAGGACCCCTAAATTTAGATAACACATTTTTTCTGAATTATAGACAGTGCTCTCTGAGGTAATGTAAGGGATTTAAGGGTAATTTAAGGGTAAAGACGAATGGGATCACCAACCGACGACTACTCGTCTTTCCGAATGAGACTGAGGGCGTGAATGATAATTATAGATATGATTGATAGTAGAAACAAACCCGGTACAAAAACCGTAGCAATCATCTGATGCATTTCAGCTAGACCCAATCCCGTTCTAAAGCTCTATTAATGACCACTGTAAAGAAAAAAAATTTTCTAGCTAAAAACAAAAATTAGAAAACGGTACTCGCGTTTGGACAAACCTAGCATTTTACTTTCTTTGTCAGATCAGGCCATGTTGTGCTTCACGAAAAAGCTTCACCGAAGCGCTTTTGCTATCTTTCATGTCTATAATAATTAAATACACTTATTAGTATTTTATATAGTTGAACTAAGTTAACAAGATATACAGTGCCGTTAAATATTATTTTCTGTTGTTATCTTCGTTGTCTGTTTATTTGGAGTATTAATATGATGGCCGTTCTTAATGCACGTTAATGTTTGCTAACTTTTCTGCTTCTTCTCCTCAATAGATGCCACGTTCCAAGCAAACGGCACTGCGAAGTAAATCGAGCCTGCAAGACGCTTGAGACTTCAGCATTCCATGTCTTGTGATCTACTCATCAAGCTGAAGGTACGAGAGGTTACCACCAGAGGAACACAAAGGACGAAAGAAGGGTAATCCTTGTCGAATGTGATGGTTGCTGATACACTCGACGATGTACGATTTTACCTATTCAATACACTAATTGCTAAAGCGCAGATCAATCTGCGCAGATGAAGCAGTTGGAAAAAAGAGTAACACGACTGTTTCAAGCTGATTTTTTTATGATTTCAATTGTGTGAATCGTATGAAATATTATGTAGCATCATTATCCACTTCCAGTTAGTTCATAACTGATAGCTTGAATATAAATATATAGTGTAAATGATACTAAAAAGAGAACGGGTATGTTTAATGTATATCGCACATTTTAATTTGACTGTAAAACTCTTCGATCAAATACTATAATGCGAATAATTGTATTCGTTGTACGGCGGTTGTTCCTTTGTCTTGATGACCCCTGGCGTCAGAATACATTTTTCGCAGGTAAGGGACAACCGCTGGCCGATCTATAAACATGCTTTTAAATTCTCTATGCGGAACTTGACTAGTAAACTAATCGCTGGTCTATGATCCGTGCACTACCAACTATCGTACCCTATTAATGTAATAATTCATTAAATAATTTATTTCGGAGGTAGCGAGACACTCTAGGATTGGTCAGGTTACATCGGCATGGAGCGCTAATGGTTGGAGAACGAACAGATGAACATTTGCTCGTATAGCTACATATTATTTTGAAGATGGGTCAAAATTAAACTTGACTCCGAACTGAATTAGTGGCCCTTGGCATTTAGTCACAGATCAATGCGACTGATTCGACTAATATTTATTCGTTAATGATTTTATGGGGTTACTTCGTATTCGATAATCATAGTTGTTATTGTTCAGATTCATAACAAACGAGAAACTGTATGTTTTAAAATTTGATTTGTTGAGGAATTAATTTACCACGTATCGTAGTCGTGCATAAATCGCGTTTCAACGTTATGCACAAAATCATTGGACCAGCATTTGAATAAAGTTAATCGGGTAACTTTCACAAATTGCAATTATCAACTATTGTTTTCAAAATTAATGGTTTTAGTACTACTGACTCCAAACACGAAACAAGCGTGTCTATTTCAAAATGTTAGCTTTTTAATTCAGGATTATTAAAAAGTTCAGCTTTTGGTCCAGGAGAGACTCTATGCTTAAAACATATAATATTCGATTTTCTATATAAATATTTCTCTATAAGATTTTAAAGGTATGATGGAATAAAAGCTTTACGAAGTAGACATCAAAATTTATTTTTGTCCATATCTGGTATTTTTTTCACTTGGTTTAGCTCAATGGAAATTTCTTAATGATTAAACCGATTAACTAAGCGCTCTCTACAGATAAAGCTGTTTGCAACGTATCATCTTCTGTCTTTATCAAAATTTCCAAGTTAGTGGTTCCATATTGGCATTTGAATTTATTACTCGCTTTGGCATTAATGTATTAATTACATAATATTATCTCGCATATTAATTATTTTCGTCCTCTATAAACATTTAAGCCTAATGTTACACACATGCCGTTGGAGGTGCCGGCCACATTCTGTACAACATGCACTCCCAATAGAATTGTTACTGATCTTGAATTACCACAACGTCTATTTGTCTGGTAGCTTTATCGTGTCTTATTTAGAAAATTTGATATGGGATTTCTTCCACCTAATTACCTTCCGGTAACTGTGCGTTCAACAAAGTTAATGAGATCCTTAGTGTGCTATGGTTACAACCGTGTTGTTAATAAAGTGAAGCACATTTTTGCCCCTTACAATATCTAGCCTCGCAAGATAAAACGTTTCGTTCATTTATTAACATTGAGCTTATCAACTCGCTCGACTGGAACGAAAATGTCTTAGCTCGGGACTTGAAGAGTTCCTAAATAAATTTATTACTAGCACAGATATGCACAATTACGTCATTTCGTTAGTTCAAAGTTGAAAAAAATTAAACCTTTGCCGAGTGCGACTTTGTCTATATACTTGCATCACTTCCAATGTTTCTCTTGGTGAAATCAATTGTGAGTACTCGGTACAACTGTCGAAATTAAACGCGGCTGATAGCTTGATTAGCCGGCTGATGATAGACACTTTGCGGTATACGACAGAGGTACAGATAAGAAAGTACTGCCCTAACGTGGCGCTCTTCAAGATTTTGGCCTCGATGAGTCGGCAAAATTCTGTACTCTGATAAACACAATGTCACCTGGTTCAGCAACATTGACTGGCGACTCTGGCGGACTTATAATCTCTTCATCTGCCCGCTCGACACTGACGTCGATATCCACAGGAACTACCTCAGCTTCGGTCAGTTCCGCCTTTAACTTGTCCTGTCTGTGCTTATCCCAGCGCGCCTAAAACAAATTGAAAGGAAAAAATTGTAGTAACGCAGAAAATCCCTAGATTTATTTTATGAAGGATTTATAAAGTTCCGTTCCATCTAAAAAACAGTGTATAGGAAACATAATATAATTAAATACAATAGGGGAATGATAGGTTGCGAAGGAAACTTGACTTACCTTGATCCAGGGTTTTTTAGATCCCCTCTTTCGCCGAAAACTAATATCTTTACGCTTCTTTTTGGTATTGACGTCATCAAAATCAACCATAGGTTTCACTTCAGGAACTTCGATCTAATTTTGCACCACGCCAATAATCGCATAGATAAGGAAGAAAACCAATGTTCTACTATTAGTTAGGCTGACGTCGAAAAAATTTGGTTTTAATTAAAATCGTTGTTAAAAGAGAAATTTCGAAAGGGTAAAAAAAATAATTGCTTGAAACAACAATAACTCTCGCATTAAATTTGGATCACGATAAATTGCTACATATAATTATTACCATTAGCCCTTAACTGAGCCTACAAAATCACACATACTTTAAAATAAACAAACAAACCCATACCTTAGTCATTAAAAATGGTAATGTAAATACAGCATTGAAATGCTTCTCGAAATCGGCAAACGCGGGCTCGTTCTCGATTTGCTCCTCTATCCAAGAGATAACAGTAGGGTCAAGTGGCTCTTCTTCATTTTTCAGATTCTCAATGAAAACCTACTCAGATTGTTAGGTTCATAGTTGACGTTAGTATCTTCGCTATTAAAGGATACGTTTAACGAGATGGCTATAGACGGAGTAACACTTGCGCTGAAGCGGTGTTACTACCGTACGGAAATACATAAACAATACTTTTACGTAGAGTCATATATTTCGAAGACCATTCAGCCAGCCCAGAAGAAAAAAGGTCTAGTCAAAAAACAGAGTTTTTGTTATAAATATTCTAGCTAGACTAAGTCGTTCCTATTTTAACGCATAGGTACTTTTTTACATTGTCATCATTTGCAGCCACCCTGGACAAATTGAAATATTAGCGACCCTTAAAACCTAATAAACTAACAAGCAACTCTTAGCGATTTTATAGCCACTCGTCACAAGTTTTGCGACCTCTTCTCCTAGCCGCGAAACGCCTGTTGTCACTTGAAGTTTCTTTACCTGGGCTGCGGACAACGATGAAGTTGTGGACATTAAAAGACCGCACTCTATTGCTCGCTCGAGCTCTGCCACTGCTTCAATTCGTTTTTCCACTACCGTGAAACTTGGCCCAGCTGTCACAGGTTCGGAGTCCATTCTAAAAGGGCGGGAGGCGGAGGGGTACACATTCAAGGTCGTTTATTATTCAAACAGTGCGATAAGCCTACATCAATGTTATCTAAGCTCACGAACTATATTTGGTATTTACGAACACGAAGACTGTATTGTTATGCATGTCCCAGCAACATGAATAGCACGCACCATAGTAGCATAATACATATAGATTTTGTTTTAACTATTGATTCTGTTTCCAGCGAGAAACGTAGTAGATACACTAATACAGTATTTACCATACGGAAAGTAGTATACCCCTATATACCCCTACTTACCCAAGGATTTTCTTTTCTATAACAGACTGCATCAACGGGAAGATTACCTCTCCACCTGGGAATCTCACAGGTTTTGGTAGCGGCGCTTGAGGAGCAAGCAGCTGCGATATTTGGTGATCTAGCCTACAATGAAAATATATTTCGGCTGTCAAAAATGGTTACTGTATGATGTGTTCATAGCCCAGGTCATTCCATTCGACCCAAATAAAAATAGAAATGCCAAATATATATGTTGGATGAATAAATAATCATTCAGGTTTACGTCCATATAATAGTTATTCAAAGGTAGACTGCTATACCTGACTCTGCCGAAAAAGCGGCTTTGTATACGAAGTTCATGCTTACGCCACAATGTCTTCAAAACTAACGGCCATTCAGTTGAATTCAAAATATATTTGCCATGATCAGACATAAAAGCAGCATAGGTAAAACGTTCCAATTGCATGCTTTGTCTACCTCTTAAAAAGTAAAAAAACAGGATAATTACCTATCGGAGACTGCCAAGCTTCTCTTGCTTGAATCAATCAGGTTGTAGATATTTCTTGCGACTTTCAGCGAGACTCTCTGTAGTTCTCCCACGCAATCATCTTTGTAAAATACGCTCATTTGCACCTGCCAAAACCATAATCGAAATGCAATGACTATATTATTAATGACTATTATAACCTGTACTAATTTACGTCTTGTCAAATTAAATATTCCATAGTACAATAAGAATTGCAGAGATAGAATACCCTTAAAAATGGATGCAAAATAAAAATAATAACAAATAATCAAAATAAAATTAGAAAAAAAACTCTTGAAAAGCAACGAAAAAAACTGAAACTTACTTTACTCATGACGGAAATGAGAGCCGATAACATCCATGGGATCATTGTTTGTTTGCAGCGCCTTATTGGCAGTGGAACGCGAGTGTCTGAAGCTTTCATCTCTGAAATACAATTGTTAGCCCCAAAAGACATGTGTAACCAATATCGCGAATAAAAGGATAAATTGTCTTCACATGTAGAGAAACAAAAGAGGAGAGAAACAAAAATCATTATCGATTTAATAAAAAAGTAGTTCAAATTCTAAACCGGAGCCAACTAAACGGCCATCTGTCTATGGCATGCCTAATGGATACAACATATTTAAATGTTGCGACGCAGTATAAAGAAAATATGATTGTACTTCTTAAAAAAATTCTTGCTCCATAAAAATACGTCGCATCACTGAGTGGAAACCAGTTTCTAGTTGTCTCAAGCAGGAAACACCCAAATATATATTATTATATTTTCACATATAGAATGATAATTTGGTCTTTGCAATTAAACCTTTGTTCTGGAAATAAGAATACAGAAAAATTAAGTTTAGTTTTAGAGCACCCACTTTCCAGATGTCGTATGGCCGTTTGCAAGGAAGTAGCCCCAAGGAGGTATTCGATCCTTCCTGCCGCCTGACCTGCCGTGCGAGCTGTATAGTGCGTTCTCATGCAACGGCTGACCTGTGACCAGTTGCACATGCCCCTATACAGATATATACTTAGCAAAAGGAGTACATCGTCCTCAAGGCGCCATCGACATCGCATCCGGCACGCTGCTGCCTCGATACGACGGGTCACACGTACCTGGCTAATAATACAATAGAAGACAACATACGGCATCTTTATGAATCTTTACCCGAATGTCAGTTCAGCTAGACGTATTAAAGCCAACAATACTGCGGTAATGTTTTGAATTTGAACAAATTATTGGTTACATCAGTTATTGGCTATTGGTTAAAGTTTTGATTAGACCTACGATATATACAAATAAAGGGCAATAATAATAAGCATAACTAGCTTTTTATCAGCTCTCATATTTGATTCAGCCACGCACGTTCGAAACCCTTTACTCAGTATTTTTTCGAAGTACTGCCAAACAAAACCCTTCATCCAAAACATGACACTGGATTTTCTTTACTCTTAAGTTTTTGCAGTCTGAATACTTGAAAATCATGGCAGCAAATAATCATTATAATTATAGATGAATATAAAAATATACTAGTGTGTTAATATATTGCATTTGTACTATCCCATTGTTTATTAGTTACTGTCCTATGGAGTCGGCATTCTCTTTGCAAACTGCTGGCGAGAACAGTTGAGCTGATTATTCCCCTTAAGGTGATGCGTCACATGTATGAGAAGTCATACACCTAGAAAGCTACTGAACACATCTTACAAGTCTCTTACTAAAATGCCTCAATCTCCATTGCTATTGGAGTGAGTCGCTATGTGTCATTGAGATTAGCGCGTTACTGCATCTCCTCTGCCGTCGATCGATTTATACTCAATTCATTTAGCATGAAATTCATTTAGCCGATGAATGAACCAGGCCAATATGCATTAAACAGTTACGCTTCATATTAAGCAATTGCCATAAGGCCTAGGCGATATAATTATACTAGCTAACCCCGTATAATAATGCCCTTTGTCTCAACAAGAAAACCATGTAGAATTAACAAACATTCAATGTGATATCAAGTTGTCGAGAAGAGGAGATACCACTGGAAATGTTCTATGCGATTAAAAACACAGTTTTAATTTAAGTAAAAATAACACCTAAACAAGAAACGTCTTGAAATCGTCTTGGAACCGTAGCGTACCTGAACGTGTTCAGCTCTTTGCCAATTCGTAACCAAGGCACGTAGTCGCGAGTTCTTAATTTACTGTACAGTTGCCAGACCTCTCCATCACTTAGAATATTAGCAGACTGGTTTTTCTGCCCAAGATAAAGTTCCCAACATTGTACAACGTGTTTGTTGCATGCAGCAGCTATCGCTTCCCAATCAGGCGGGTACGACGGGGAATTCTTGATCATTTCGTCCATTTTCTGAAAATAAATTTGAAAAAGCATAGAGACAGAATTAAATGTGTTATCATGTGGCTTGTAGTATTTAGGAAGGTTTTGTCAGTAGCGAGCGTACCCAAAAAGGTTGTCTAGCAAGCACTTCGGGTAACATTTTTATTTTTGACGGCGGTTTTACGGTTTCTTTTGGTGAAGTTTTATTGATTGTATTTAGTATATGCATATCAGGAAAAATGTGGGCAATGTTGTAGCTTATTTCGACACAGTACATGTAAATTAGGATTCAAAATATGGTAAGTAAAAAGCAAAAGTGACAACCCTGGCCGTATATCGGTGACCAAGATCTTACTAAAAAAAAAATCAAATCTCTCATCATTTTATAATATGGTGTAGTCCAGTATCCAGTGGCTCTGCTTGAACTAACCGTGAGATTGACGTTGTCCCATTGGGGCAAGCTGATGTTTGGCCAAACGAGGTTCTCCCAAATAAGTTCGAGGTCTCGGTCTCCCCTGCGACCAGCGAAGTCAATGACTGCTATACACAGCCAATCTACCCTTTCGTTGTTTCGATACTTCCTTAGCAGGTCAATTTTTCGCATATTTTGTATCTCGTTCAGCTGTTCGCTGATGCGCAACAGTTCACTGTTGACATCGGAGTTTTCGCAAGTCTCCAATTGCTCCTCAAGCTTGGCCTTTTTGGCCAAAAGTCTCGACACCACTTGACGTTTAACCGACACAAAGACACTTTCTTCAAGTCGAAGTAAATCTTTTGCTACCCATTTTTTACTAAGAGACTGAAAAACACAATATAGCTTATAGGATAGTACACAATTTTCGACAAAGATGAACACTAGCACAGATTAGGTAAATATCTTAAAATAATCAACAAATGTATACGCGGAACAGTAGGATAGTAGTTTTTTTGTAGAGCTATGTGCTCTGCTAGTTCATATAAATAGTTCAAGTAAAGGGAATTAAACAACTGACACGCACTAACTACATAACTAATCTGGTTAAATCATCGCTTCACAATTTGATTTTTCGTCAATACTTACCAAATTTCTGATGCCCAGGCGGTCTTTAACAACTTTCTCTTCCGAAGGCGGAGGCAGCCTATCTTGTTCGTCGAAGAAATACGGAAAACGGAACGCACGGCATGTTATTTTATGATTTTGGGCCTGTAATAAAGCAACCATTTTCGATTAACTAACTTTTCTGATATAAGCCAATTACTCCGACCATGCTTGGATGAAATGCCATATTACGCAGCACTATAACTCCAATCGTGTCTGGTCGTTGTACTAGGTCAACCGCTTATAACAGGTCATTTGACTAATATAAACTATAATTATTAACACATTAATATGACTGTGGATGATATGATATGAATATATAAAATTGCTGTGATATTACAAAAAGCCAATGCCATATTTTACCTCTTTCTAAAGAAATTCGTAATATAATGTAGGCCGTCTGTATAATACCTGTATGGAAAGTATCTGCTCGGCTTCGTCTTGTAGCATCTCGTTCTCCATGAGAATTGTCTCCAGTTCATTAATGAGCCCTTGAACCAAATCTTGGTAAGCGAGATTGAGTTCAAGAAGCGATTGTAATGTCACAGGAACATCGGGTAACGGTGACGGCGCTACCAGCGACGAGGGACATTCTGACGGAGCCGTCGAAGCTACTGCCATTGCTTAAGCGCAGTTGCGCCAGAGGCGACAATAGGCCGGGCCTAGAGAAGCTGACACGAGAAAATGGAAATACACGTTTCGCACCTACCAGGTAAGTAGTTCATTAGTCGCATTGCCTTGTTCAACGAATTGTGCACAGATATTACCCATGAACAAATTTATTAAAGGCTGAATTGATAATGTCGAATTGATAATGCATAATTGACTTAGTACATAAAAAAACAAAATCAATCATACAGTAGTTTCGAAACCTGATATAAAACTCCGGTTGTTGCGGCTAATACATCGCCAATCACGCGGACGTGAACATATCCTTGGAAAATCACTTGCCGGGGATTTTTCAATAAATGTATATCTATGGAGGACAATTAGTTAAATTTCCCAACGCATTTGTTCAAACCAGTGCAATAGAAAGAAAAATATACCAGTATATCTGGCAAAGACCCTTCTATTATGTGGCTAAAACAGCTTCAAGTATATTTATTTCACAGAAGATATCAAATGAAAACACTTGTGAAGTTGGACCATATACTCCCTCTACAAGAGCCAGAGGTGAAGCCAATGATTGCGAGCGAAGAAGTCAGTCATTCAACAAAACTGAAAAGAAAATGCTTTTCTGTTCAGAAAGGACTATGATTATGGCTAGAAGTCGATGCTTTATAATCATCTATTGCAAGGTCACGAAGGTCAAATATTATGATTCGTCTACCATAGGTCCACACCAAAGTTCGATTACGTAGTGCGCGGTCGACTTTTGTGTAGCACAAATACTGGCATATCTACAACTTGCATTTTGGTTTCGAAAAGAAGAGGAGCAGTGACAATGCGGGCACTGCTCTTTAAAGACTATATAACCATCATGGTTATGCACGACTTTGATAAAAATATCTATTTATGGTAAATTTTCGTCCACGACCATGATTATTTGCAACGTGGTGCATACATCGAACATTTTGTTTCATCCGAACGGTGCGTTGTGCCGATAAAGTCGTCAAAACTCTTTCCACAAACAATAACATGTGACACCTTATTGACAATACCGACACGTGATGCAGCGAGTAAGAAGCTATGATACCTTAGTTTAACCTGTACGGTATACATATTAGTACTGAGCTGAGTTGTACTCTGACGCCATTTGGTTCTTTTCATTTCTGTGACATCGATCATATCGATGACATCTTGTTCTATATACGCTCGAAATGTAATGATTCATACAACTTCACTTCTTCCTGATCTATATAGCTTCCAGGATTATAAGTGCATCTTCTTTTATATATGGCAAACTTGAAAGTGATACTGTTTGTACACAGCGTACTTAGAAGAGAATTAAAAACGACAATAAAAACGAGAAACTTATCAATGACACAATGTGCAAACGAAAATTAGAAATATAAAAAGGAGTGCAATTTGCCTATATTCTTACAATCCTCTCAGTAAGTCTGCTGGCATAAAACATAACGGTGTAATACAAATAATAAAATTAATGCTTAATGTAACGCAATCAATATAACCCATTTTCGATTGCGTCTAAGTTAATGCACAGTGGTGATATAATTTCTGTTTAATGCACCAAAGCAGACGATTTCAGTTTTAGGTGTCAATGTAAATCCCGCCAGTTTTTGCGATAATATCCAAAAACGAAGTAACAAACTTACATTAACATTAGCTGATCTACAGCGTACCGAATTATCTAGCAATGAGTGTCACCAAATCGATACAGATCGCCTATTGGTCTATGATAGCCGAAATGTAAGGTGAAATTGTCTTGCAAAATTGTGAAGTCTCGATATATCATCAAACTGAAATCGATATGCCGAAACAACCTTATAGAGCATCGCACTTTTAAGCAAGCCCACTGTATCGTAAGACTTGATTCTAATTTGTATTATGAACAGGCTTACGCTAATTACCCACTCTACAGAACTATTACGCATATTTATGCCCTATGTGTCACAGGCTGCTATACTTTATTTTCTTTATGGTAAGGTTTGCAAAGTCAAAAAAGGAAATAGTCAAGCTCAAAAAATTAATTAGTGTTGATATCTATGGACAAAACACTGTCTTCTACCAGTATTTTCTTGCATACTGTATTTGAATCGGCGTAGTGCCCTTTGAGTGGTACGTTTTGCAAAAACAAAGAAATATCCCTGATACAGAATGGCGCGACCTTTAGTGGTCTTTTTATAAGGCTTTACATTTCAATACTGAAAAGTACAGCTGCGAAGAACTGACCTCTCATATCACCACAATATTTGAACATTTGAGTACATGCATAACAAGCCAATAGCTGTTTAACGTGGTCATTTAACTGGCCAACACTTCGTAGCATAATATAGACGTCAGTTGAGAAAACTGTTACTCACAATACCTTACGGGTCCTTAGCCGCCAGTTGTAATGTAAAGTATAACAGCAAATCACGAATTTATCACCGGAGGAACAGCTGCACAATAAATTGCAGAGTTTTGTTCCATCGAAGCAACTGCTTTCCCCTTTTAGCCCGCCCAACTGCAAGTACATTAATACTCGGAATCGCACCATTTTGAGGGTTGAAATCTTACTAGTTATAAGCTATATTAGTATAATCATGCTAAACATCTGTGAAGCATAGTGGTCACGATATCTACTGAAATTCGACTTAGCAGAAACAATATGATAATCTTAAAGTATTGGAGGTGCAATGTTTTGACTGATTTAGCACTGTCCGCGTTCCGCAGAATATCGCTTTGTATGTTGTGGTATCACACTGCTCTCCAGGGAATGGGGCTGCTATAGTGTGACAGGCGAACACGGGCAGCTACCTGTGTGGCGTAAAGGCCTGCGAAATTTCGCCTGCAGCCAATTTGCTATTGCTTGGCTGCCATCCGCTTTCCATGTCACGGTTTCAACACAGTTCTATGCCCCGATGTGACCATGATCTCTCGTGAAAAGGTGGGTAGAATCTCCGAACGCTCGATGCAGGGTGTAGTGAGGTGTACCTAGTGCCTTGTAGTCGGTGGTCAACGACAGTGAATGGGGAGTTGTCGTCGTAGGGGTTTTGTATGAACGTAGTCCGGACTTCGAGGACTATTGTGTGCCTAGGGAGGAATTAAAAGAAGACATTTTGCTTGGGTGTTAGTGAAGGGCCGTGCAATGTGGCCAACATTATAAGAACACCCTCCTAGAGAAGTTGATTCATTGTTACATATTGAATTGATAGTACCCCGCGATAAAGAACGGCGGTGGTACATTTTGCGTGAGGTGAATTAATCGATGCGTTCAAGCCCGTTTTCATCTGTACTGCAGAATGGTATGATGCCAAGTTGTATCTACGGAGTCATCCCATTTAGGATGACGTGCAGTGTCTGTGTTTCTATCGATCGGTGCTACTTATACTCACTGTTGTAACACGAATTGTAATTATTCTATACAAAGTCATAATATGTCAAAAAAAAATGCGGACGCATGTGACATGGTGCATGGACATGTGACAGGTATCCAGCGATCTTAGTCGACGTTGAATTTATAACGAAACTAGTGCAATATTATCTTTGTCGATATTCTAGGACGACTTACAGGAGAGCACTATACTACAAGTTACGTAAAAGTACTTACTGGTATTTCCATTGATGGAAATCTAAAATAGCTTAAGCCGAGCATTGTGGTATGATGTTCTTTGTCGCAGTTGCTCTCTGTCTTCTTAATACAGGATTGGGTGTTCGTTCGGAAACAAACACGACAATTTGCGCGGAGCCGTCAGGTCAAGTTATTCTGGATGTTTGCTTCGTGAAGTTAATAACGTAGATTATATATCGCTGACGGAGACTGCGTGTCATTAAAATTCATATTGTTTGATTATTATCTTCATAAATTAATGATGCTAACTGATCAAACTAGTTAAATATGTATATATGTCGGCTCCGTAGTGAAAGCAAGAATTCTCGTTGGTCGTTGCCTGATCTACTTCGAAATCGCTAACGTGAACAGGGCAAACTGGCGAAAAATTTCAGCAGAACCAATCGTTTGGCGCGCGTTCCAAGAATTGAAAGACTTTGCATGCTTGTTTTAGGAAAGCTACCTTGTTATTGTGTCTGTATGTGTGTTATCAGCCTAAAAAACGCTTTAAAAGTGGCGCCATCTTCAAAACATTTTAAAATGCAATCTATAGCTAGTTTGTCAGCACAATATATAATAATCATTCTACTTAGATTTTATATTTGGCTGTATTTATACAAGAAACCCTTTAGTTCACATAAATTGTATGCCGTGTTTTCAAAGAGGTATAGATTATGCTCAGCACTTCGCTTGGTAATGATTGCCTTATGCGCCGCACATAGGATAATTTTCGGCTCAACTAAGCAACATGTATATAGTTGAAATGTAACTGTAAATGTAACGATCTAATAAATATTTACACATCAGGTGGTCTCTATACTTCCACCGAACATAGTCCGCTGTGTGATAACCTGAGGGAAAAAACTGTGTCGCTTAATTAAAAACTAGACCGCTTCGAGCGTAATAGAGTAAATCGAGCCATATTCGGTACACTGAAGCACACATTATAGTTAGCACAAATTCCGCTGGTCCCAATGCTGTAGCTTTTTTAATTTTTTTCACCATTTCGCATATTAAATCCAGCATGGGATAGTTATACTATTTATAGGATTAACCCGTATTATAGAACTAAAGGATACGATTGAACCTCCCGTTGGTATTTGCGTCGAAAGGCGCCCATTATACAAACATCCAGATACTGGGTCTTACCGTTCTTAGTGCGTTTATTCAGTGTAGTTCTTTACCTGCAATATATTCTTGCACGACTGAGTAAGTCAATCGCCATACAAAAGGGCCCATTTCATTATAATAAATACTATTACTTTAAAATCTACAAAGGTGAGATGTGCCTAGAAATGTCGTGTCGCTGTACTTCCACCGAAGTGAGCTGCAAGACATGATATATATGTATATATATATATATAAACACCTGTATCTAACCGCAGCAATTAATGGTCTAAAATGTGCGTCGGAAAATGTGTAATTATGCAGAGATACAATATATAATGAGTTCTAAATCTTTCTTACCAAATTAAAGAAATTGTGGCAGCCTGGCTATTTGTTGTCCTGGCCAAGTGAGTTTTATTAGAGGTAATGCTAAAAATTGAATTTTGTGGGCGTGACTGCCTCATGGAAAACAATTAATTCTTTAAAACGAGTTCTATATTTGTTACGGGATACTTCCTTTGTGTGATCCAAATACAAAAATTGAAAAGTACCTATTGAAAGATCTGTTTATAGTCAGGCATTATCAGGCAGATCCTTAGAAAAAAAAAGTACAGATACATTTTTACATCACTAATTAGCTGTAAAAGTCACAAACGCTTTTCAAGCTCCAAGTTCAAATGCTTTTCGCTATGGCTCTTTATGTCAAAAGACACACTCAGTAATGAAGCTTATGATTAACGCTTGTTAAGCCTTTACTCAGTTTATGGCATTTGGTGATTTCCCTCATTTCGCAAGTGGTTTCTATCCGCCAATTCTTTCTAATAATTGACGTTTTTGCTTTACAATGAAGGGGCTCCTTTATTTTCAAATATTTAATTAGTTATAGCATGTGTAGGCTGTCAGATCGAGATAATACTTTTCAGAACATACAATAAATCAGCCAAAATGTTCTCTCTTGTTATGTTTCGATTTGTAGATGGTGACCGACGGGGAGGGTGCATCCTTCGATATTGTCAAGGCCACTCAATATGGAGTGCTTTCGCGCGTTAGACAACTCGTTGAAGAGGAGGGGCACGGCGTCAATGAACGTGATTGTGTCAGTACAATTAATTTGTATCGTTTCAAATTGCTGTTGCTGTTTTTTCTAGTCTGTATAAATATTTATTGTCTTTTTAATTTGTTATTTTAGTAAAAATGCTGACAAATTTGTTATCCTGTCAATTACTGTAGGTGACGACTATTGCTTATTTTATTGCTCCTTTGTCACCATCATTTAGGAAAATGTTACTCTGCTGCACTGGGCTGCCATCAACAATCGATTGGAACTTGTACATTACCTTGTGAGTCGAGGCGCTATCGTGGATGCAATTGGAGGAGAGCTTGAGTCCACTCCATTGCAATGGGCTGTCCGGCAGGGTCACCTATCGATGGTACGCATTACGCCTTCCATAAAACAGCATTTTTACTGATGTTGGAATGAAATGTAGTTAATTTAACCCTGTCGTATTTTGCAGATGCATCACTATTATAGCAATTGATTTTAGGTGAACTAAGTGACAAGAAGAGCTGCTGAAGAATTAAAACGTTTTAAATGATGAGAAATTTATTTTTAAATATAAATGTTGTACGTTCGTGTCATGGACAAGCGTACCTTCATTCCATAATTTAGAAACCAACTTGTATGCAAATGGTGCAAATTTCTTTATTATATGTACTTCTAGGTGGTGCTTTTGATGAAGTATGGAGCTAATCCAACGCTACGCGATGGCGAAGGTTGTTCATGTATCCATTTAGCTGCTCAGTTTGGTCATACACCGATCGTCGCTTACCTCGTTGCGAAGGGGGTTAATATCAACTTGGAGGACAAGAATGGCATGACGGCGCTAATGTGGTCAACATACCGTGTACAGACCTCAGCAGACCCCACCCGCCTGCTACTTACTCTGGGGGCTAGTCATTCAATGAGCGACCGCGTCCATAAGAATACGCCATTACACTGGGCGGTATACGCTAAGAATTTGACCGCCCTCACTCAGTTGGTCAAAATGGGCGCCGACGTGAGCGCCGAAAACGCTCAGGGGACAACACCCAAACAAATGGCGGCCAATAGCAATCAAACGTTTCTGCTCAACAAACTGCAGCAAGCCGAACAACCAAAGACGATCTGCAAAATCCCGCGTGACAAACTCCTCAATCAGTGGCTAGTAATGTGTGTGCCGTTTTTCGGGTTCGTTGCCATCGGCAGCATCTTGCAAAGCGAGTTACCAGCTATACTCAAGGTTCTGGCATTAATGATGACTATCATAGCGGGAGGGACGTTAACGAAGTACCTTTGCATGGACTACCTACCAGTGTGTACGTATCTGGCGACTAAGTTTTGGATGTATGTCACTTGGTTTCTGGAGTTTGCAAAGTACGTCCGGCTTGAGGTAAACATGCTGTTTATCTTCTGCTCGGCCGGGCTCTTCTACAACTTTTGGAGATCGTGGCGGGCTGATCCGGGCATTATACCAAAGGATCGGGACCATCAGTTTCGAACGATTATCGAGCTATCCGAACGTGATGGTTTCGACGCAACGTTATTTTGCAGCTCGTGCCTGGTTCGCAAGCCGCTCCGTTCCAAGCATTGCTCAATCTGTGACTGCTGTGTAGCCCGATTCGACCACCACTGTCCGTGGGTGGCAAACTGTATCGGGGCAAAGAATCATAAAAATTTTATGCTGTACCTCTTCTTTCTCTGTATCATGTTATCGTTCGTCTGGTACGCTTTGTACGAATACTTTACAGGCCGCAATTACAAACTACATAATGGCGAAGCCAGCACCCTTACCGTAATGAGCGAATCAGGCTGGGTGTCCTGGGTAATGGCCAACACGTTACTACACTCGATCTGGGTATGGTGTCTGTTTTGGTGCCAGATGTACCAAATCGTCGTGCTTGGTATGACGACGAACGAGCGAATTAATTGTAGTAGGTATAGCCATTTTAGTCGCGATCCACGCGGCAACGTGGTTTCACCATTCTCGCGAAAAAGCATGTGGAATAATTTTGCCGACTTCTTCGATATCGGTCGTACACGAACGGATTGGACGAAAGTGCATACTCTTGAGGAGGCCGAGTATCCGTTACTGGGAAACGAAGAGGTGTGAGTATAGCAGAGGTCCGACTCTGGGAACAATTGAGATCAAAGTCAGATACAGGAAGAAGTCAGGGAACAAGAGATGCAGGTTGACATAGCTAATGGTACGTTTACGCCTGCGTGAAGTAGCTTTACTGAAAAGGCACAAAGATGTTGACTACATCAACAGCAGCAGCAACAACGACAATATCAGCCGTATTGGTTATCAGGACGCAGCGTTGATAAGAAGCCGGAAAAGGCGATTGAGGTATCAGGGATCTGCGCAGATTTGTGCTATTGGCGATGGCCATTGTTAACGATCGCATCTTCCAGCTAACTTAGCGCGATGCTCAAAGGATGCGGCTGGCGCCCGAGTCGGACCAACACCCCATCACCGAATGACACCAGGTTCGACTGGCAGCAACAACAGCGAGGTTACCGCAGCTATCTGGTGGTTTACCCTTCACCTCATTACAGTGCAGTGACGTTGCGATACCAACGGCTATTTAGCGGGGTGATGGAAGTGGTGAACTCGCCTAATGACAATGGCCGCCGGTGTCTCGTTGCACACCGTTGGCAGCAGCTCGATTCGCACACCAAGATATGCAATAGATAAGTAATTCGCACCAGGTGCAGTGTTGTGCGTACCTTAGATTCGAAATGTGCGACACCCGAGATGTGTACTTCACTGGCAGTTATGCAGAACAACAAGCATTGACGTCGGGAGAAACGACCCCAACATCTCGTGATGAATAGTATATCAGAACTAAATGCTGTTTCTTCTCATTTTGATGCTTTCCCGCTATCGGCAATGACTGTCTCGCGGTGCTTGTGTTGAGGAAAAAGCTAAGCTTTCCAAGTTGTCGAATGCATTGAAATACTCGAGTTGACGCATTCCATTTCCATGATCATATAATGGAAAAAGCGTGTTTCGTTTTGTTTATTTTACTATTACTTCAATCTTTAAACTTATCTAAACAACAGTAATTTGGTTCTTTCTTTGGCGAAACCTTTATTAAAAGAAACATCAGATATCATCATTCGATAGAACTTGACCCTGTTTAGGAATCACCTCTGCTTAAGAAAAATCATAGGGATAAATGCAGAGATTTCATTGAAAAAAATATTCCTGTTATTAAATAGTAAGTTAGGCTAGCACGGTTGATTGCTAATATTTGGTAGCCGTACTGTAGATTTTCGTTTTTTAAAGGACAGAAGTGGGCACAAGTATTGATGGTAAAGGCGTTACATAGAGTAAAAGAGGGATACAAATATAGAATAAAGCCCATTTCTCCATCTAATCGCAAATTTTTAGTAATAAATTATATATAATACATGATAATAAAAGGTCTAGCTATAAACACGTATATATAATTCTATGCGGTTCACTCTAACTGCAAGGTATATTCGCACACAGGCACAGATACCCAGGTGTTGTACATAGTTGAACTTATAATATTATAAGATTAAAGCTCTTACACGAAAGCGTATAAAACACATGAACACGAGAGTCAGGGAAAAACGTACGAATGACAGAGACAAAATAAGAAAGACACATAATTTGCAAACGAAGTGAGGTAAAAAAGAAAGTGAACAGCTAGGCCTGGGATATAGTCGTGTGCATAAGAATCAGAGAAGTATTTTTTATTTATTATTAAGTGACTTCACGTCGCAATGAACATACGCTGTTGTTTGCCCACTTCATAAAGCGAAAATTTTGTAAACTGTAGGACGAGGATTACCGGTGAGATCGACTTAAGCTGGTAAAAAGAGCTAAACTGACAATAATTATAATATATATATATA